TGAACACACATATCCTTCAGGTCATTGTGTATGTTGTTACTGTCCTTGTATATTGTCTTTTATATTGTATACTGTTTTATGCAAGCTTATGATGGAACCACTCCTTCCTGTCATCTTACCTATATGTAACCCTACCATGTTTAGTATCTATGAATTCATCTACTGATGATCTAAACGAGAGTGCATATTATATGTTGGTACATAGGCAATATATTAGTGTTCTGAAAATCTTTAGTAATTTCGATTCAAGTTCCATATGCAAATTACCATGCTTTCACACAAAGGGTCATAAAACTCCCCAGTATTTCCAAACTCCCGCTTGGAATTTCAGCCTTTCTCATTGGACAAGCTCATCCTGAGAGGCGTGAATCTTGTCAGGCCTTAAAGGCCTCACATCAGTGAACCGCCTCCAGTCTGTGGTTCTGTTAGATTCTGAGACGATGTGAGCTAGAACGCTTCTAAGGACACCCTAAGTTTGCGCCAGGCCTCGGGCCTTGACTTTCCATTCACCAAGCTAATCTGACTCCAACTGGTTCTTTTCCATCAACCAACTTCAGCAAAGATCAACTTGAGCATTCAGATTGCATCGGGACTCTCTGTCAGACAGACAAGACGTGCAAGTATCAAACTTAGTCTTATTAATTGATACATTAAGTATCATTTGCACCTTTTTACAAAGGTGTGTTTGAACTAAGAATCTGATGTTTCCTTCAGGCTGTAGATCTGCTGAATATCCAATGGTCCCATAGCTTCATGCTTTATTTCTCTTCTCTTTACTGCCTAAGCTTTAATCCTGTTCCTATACCAACTGTATGCATGTGTGTGTGTATGTGTGTGTGTGTGTGTGTATATGTGTATGATAGACTAGTTTAAGTGTTTATGTAGTTAATAAAGTCTTACTTGTATCACACTTGACGTTGTTCATTGTTTGCTCATAACTGGAGTCTCTAATCATGCAGATTTATGCTACAGGCTCTGTGTAGTATTGTACAGTAAGAAAGTTATTTCCCTTAACCAGGAAATTAACATTCTTAAAATTGACAGACAGTTGACCCTGAGAGGTCAAGTACATACTTACAGCGGATCTAAATATTTATAATTAATTATAACTAGTTATGATTTATTATTCAAATTTCCCCTTTGAGCTGATTCGCTACACCTGTAAATGTTTTATTATTATTTTATTTTACACATACATACAATCATGAAAAAGTTTCAGTTTCAGGCTCAGTGGGAAATGCTGTGTCCTCACAGCAAGAAGATCTCTGGTTCGAGTCCCAGCTGAGCCAGAAACTCTTTCCCTCACAATCTAAAGAAGTGTGAATCACAGATGCTTAATTGTCTAAAGGTGTAGCTGTGTGTTTTACTGCCTATCGATGGAGCCGTGGCTGAGTTGTTGTTGTTTTTTTGGCTTTTTTATGGCTCAGTTTTGGGGTTTCTGGTTAAAGGCTGGTCTCTATGTGGTTTACTGAAGGCTGAGATTGGGTAGCACTATTAAAACTTGTTCTGGCCCAGATCAGGGCTGGTTATAAGTTACTATTCGGCTGAGATTTGGGCCAGTTATGGCTCATATCTGTAGTCCAAATTTGGGCCAAACAAGGGCCGTAATTCTTTGCTGCATGTGGGTGTAACTGCTTGTTTGGCCCAGAGCTGGGCCAGAAGACAATTGCTATGTGGGTGGTTTGAGCGATCGGATTTATATCCATCTCGAATACATTTCAGAGGGCATTTACACCTGGCCTTTTCACAATCGGACAGATATCCGATCAGAAAAAAATGCATGAAGTGACCAGGTGCAAACAGGCCCATGTTACACAACATGCGTTCTCTTTCTCAACTATTTAACGTTCCAAAACTGACTGTGTTTAACTGGATACTCGCCAAGATGGGCATTTTTTGTATGTATTTAAACGTTTTAGCACAGTTAGCCACTCATTTTGGTATTTGTGGCTCACAAGCTGTTTGAGACTGAGCGTGGCTTGTGTGCGCTCCACTAATATTGATCAGTTCTGGTGCGCATGCTTTTGGTGTAAGTGAAACCTGCGGGAATGACTAAAATAATGCGCAATACAAGCACTATTTAACCGGAGCGAATGAGACGTGTGTGAGAGAGAAGGGGTCGTCGGAGAGAAGAGAGTGAGAAGGCGCGGCTGACGTTGTTGCCTGTGCCGCTGGTAACTATGTGGGTGGTTTGAGCGATCGGATTTATATCCATCTCGAATGCGTTTCAGAGGGCATTTACACCTGGTCTTTTCACAATCGGACAGATATCCGATCAGAAAAAAATACATGAAGTGACCAGGTGCAAACAGGCCCATGTTACACAACATGCGTTCTCTTTCTCAACTATTTAACGTTCCAAAACTGACTGTGTTTAACTGGATACTCGCCAAGATGGGCATTTTTTGTATGTATTTAAACGTTTTAGCACAGTTAGCCACTCATTTTGGTATTTGTGGCTCACAAGCTGTTTGAGACTGAGCGTGGCTTGTGTGCGCTCCACTAATATTGATCAGTTCTGGTGCGCATGCTTTTGGTGTAAGTGAAACCTGCGGGAATGACTAAAATAATGCGCAATACAAGCACTATTTAACCGGAGCGAATGAGACGTGTGTGAGAGAGAAGGGGTCGTCGGAGAGAAGAGAGTGAGAAGGCGCGGCTGACGTTGCTGCCTGTGCCGCTGGTAACAAAACGGATCGGCTCGGAATCGGAAAGAAGTGAGATTGATTCTGATCCCTGGCCGATCGATCGGTGCACTTCTATCAATAATTACACAAGAAATAGACACTCACAGAGCTTTAGTGCAGCTGCTGGCAGCTGGTATCAGTCTTCTTCTCCCCTCATCTGATGTGTTGTATTTCTTGAGGTCCAGCTCATCCAGCGGCTCCTCTGACATCTGAAGCATGTAGGCAATTGTTGAGCAGTGAGCAGGAGAGAGTTTCTTCTCTGAGTGTTTGTCTGATTTCACAAACTCCTGAATCTCTCTGGACAGAGTCTGATCTTTCACTTCCAGCAGACAGAGGAACAGATTGATGGATCTTTCAGTGGAGAGTCCATGTCCATCTTTGATCTTCTCTTTAATGTACTGTGTGGTTCTCCTGATGCTCTCTGAGCTGTTCTCTGTGTGTGTCAGTAGATCCTGTAAGAGTCTCTGATTGGACTCCAGTGAGACGCCCAGCAGGAACCGCAGGAACAGATCCAAATGTCCATTCTCACTTTCAAGGGCTTCCTCCACTGCAATTTTAAGCAAATGTTGTATTGAAGCAAAATTCTTTAATCCCTCCATAATTGTACATACATAATAGTAAAACACATACAAAGCAGCGAGAAACTCTTGAACACTCAGATGAATGAAGCTGTAGACTTTCCTCTGATGAAGCACAAACTCCTCCTTAAAGATCTCAGTGCAAATCCCAGAATACACTGAGGCATCAGTGACGTCTATGCTGCTCTCAATCAGGTCCTCCTCATAGAACATCACATTGCCCTTCATCAGCTGATTGAAAGCCACTTCAGCAAGTTTCACAATCACTTCTCTGTTGGACTTAGTAAGAACAGTCTTGATCTGCTCTTTCTCCTCAGATTCTGGCTCAGGTGAAGCTTTAAAGATGTCACTGCAGTAGATTGAAGTGTCTTGTGAGTGTTGTGTTCTGGATGTTTTGTCCATCTGTAAAACCTCATGTTCTTCATTCACTCCTTCACTCTCTCCCTTTATGATGTAGAGCTGCGTATAGATCCTGTTCAGGAGGGTTACATTCTCCTGTTTGTTTCCCTCAGATAATCTCTCATGCTTGTTTTTCATGGTGGTTTTGTGCTGGTATTTGAATCTCTGAAGGACATCATCTACTGATTGGTGAGAATCCTGTATCAGGGCTTCAGTCTCTTCCAACAGACTGTGTGTTTTATTAATTGTTTTTTTGTGGGTCAGAAGGTAAGAAACATTTTTATTCATTCTGATATGGTGCTGATAGTGGGATGCAGAGTATGGTAAAGATTTGTTCAGATCATATATCTCTCCCCTGCTGAAATAGAAAAGACAATAGCAGCAAAAAGACAATGACAGTGATTACAATGACTATTGAAGACCTTCATAAAACATACAGTTACCAGATATGACTTTGATTTTGGGAGGCACTTCTGTTTAGTATGTTGCATATTTTGGAATACATTTAGTGTTGTTTCATTAAAGTTTCTTTAAGCATTATTAATTTGTGATACACTACAGTAAATTACCAAGTAAATGTGACCCTGTCTGTGAAAACCCAGCTAAAGTAATTTTTTGGTGATTTATTGTTCTCTATATAAAATCATCCTTCATAAGGTAAATAACATTATGTGAAAATGTAATATTGAAATCTTTATTATTGACTGAGTAAGATCATATCAAACATTGAAATCATAGGAAAATTAATGGTTGCAATCAAACTTTGATGCTTGTTATCTCATAATTAGATTTTGAGACTTTAGCCTGGATTTCACAGAGAGGGTCACAGATGTTTATACTGACGAAGGGTTAGAGGACCCTGGTCCATCGCTGAATTTAATGGGTTCCATCATGGATGTGTTACTTTTCACAGACACACAGCTGGGTTCTGGAGACTCTGATATCTGCCTCTCACTACTGCTGATACTGACAAAAGACAAACAAAAAAGCATTTTGGAGCACTACATATGCTGAATAAAATGAATGCACCTTACAGTAAATTGTCAAGTAAATGTGTCTCTGTCTGTGAAAACACAGCTAAAGTAATTTTTTGGTGATTTACTGTTTTCTACATAAAATCATCCTTAATAAGGTAAAGAACATTCTGTGAAAATGTAATATTGATATCTTTATTACTGAGTAAGACCATGTCAAAGATTGAAATCATAGGGAAATTAATGGTTGAAATCAAACTTTGATGCTTGTTATATCATAATTAGATTTTGAGACTTTAGCCTGGATTTCACAGAGAGGGTCACAAATGTTTATACTGACGGAGGGTTAGAGGTCCCTGGTCCATCACTGAATTTAAGGGGTTCCATCATGGATGCGTTACTTTTCACAGACACACAGCTGGGTTCTGGAGACTCTGATATCTGCCTCTCACTACTGCTGATACTGACAAAAGACAAACAAAAAAGCATTTTGGAGCACTACATATGCTGAATAAAATGTATGCACCTTAGAGTTACATTTATTGCTTTATCAGAAACTTTAATCCAAAGGTAATTAGAAATGAGGAACATAAAATTAAATTCATACTATAGAGGCAATAACAGAACAATTGCTGAAATATAAAAGTTCAAAACTGTTCAGAGTGCAGTCTAGAAATGAGATGAAAAGAATAAACAATGAAAGAATAGGAAACGATTCAAGATAAAAAAAATGCATACATTACTAGAAAGATCAAGAGATCAAGCAGTTTAAAAAAGATTCAGTCAAGTGCTTGAAAAATTTAAAGGAATTTTACTGTTTGGGAAGGTAGGGAAGATCATTCTACCAGTGAGGATCAGTGACAGTAAAGGCTCAAGAAAGTTATTTTGTGCCTCACTGTGATGGTTCCATGCAACAACACTCACTAATGCTAAAATTACTTGTGTCTTACCTGAGGTCATAGACCACTGTTTCATCACTGAAGACAGAGGCCAGATTCTTCATGGGTTGATTGCAGCTTGATCCAGGAGATGGAGCACACATTTTAGAGTCAGTGTATTCCTACTCTCATTTCTAAAAAAAAAAATAATAATAATAAAAAAAGTAGAGAAATTTATTTCAGACATTTTGTGTAAAAAAATAAATGAATAAAAATATTTAGGGATGCACCAAAATGAAAATTCTTGGCCAAATTCTGGATGACCTTGGCTGAAAACCAAAACCAAAAATGCTTTTTAATAATATAAAACATTTTTTAAAGTTTTTAAAATTTAACTCAATAATTTTAATGATACTGAATTTGAAAAATACAAGCCCAATAAAATAACCACACATTTATTGAAAGTAAAACAATACAATTGAACAGAACATTTATTTATATTAAATATCAACATATTATTTTTATTCAGTTCAACAGAAAAACTGCAACAGAATCAGATTTCACTGACTTTTAAAAATGTTTTATTATCCAAATAACGTAAGTCCCACAAAACTATTATTATCAGTGCATGTGAGCAGAGAATATGGACTAGTGTCTGTTTCGACCTCACTGATTGAAGTGTTTTTGAAGATGCTGCCACCGATCTGGACGAGCTCACAGAGACTGTAACATCATATAACAGTTTCTGTGAAGACGTGCATTCTACCAGGACTCATTTAACTTACGACAATGACAAACCATGTTTCAGTTCACTGCAAAATTCAGACAGCTCCGTCAGGCCAAAGAAGATGCTCGCAGGAATGGGGACAGAGTCTTGTATAGACAGGCCAAATACACACTGGAAAAGGAGATCAGAGTGGCAAAGAGGAATTATTCTGGAAAGCTAAGGAACCAATTCTCTTTCCTGCTTCTGCTCCAGGAGGATGCTACCTTTCTAGTAGAGTGAGCATCGCAACCTGAGTGGGCAGGGCACACATTATCCAGTGGGCCATGAGATGGCAGAGATGGCATTCCCCTTCTGCCGGCCTCCGTAACAGACAAAGAGCTGATCTGAGGTCCTGAAGCTTTGTGTCCGGTCTACGTATCAACTCAAGGCTCGGACAGGACAGCAAAGCAAGCAGGAGAAAGCAAAGCAAGGGCTGGGTCTGCCTCCTCCGGGGGCAGCACTTGCAGGTTCACTACCTGATCCCTGAAGCGGGTAGTAGGAACCATGGGCACGTAGCCGAGCCGGGGCCTCAGGTTTACCTGGGACTCAGCTGGCCCAAACTCTAGGCATGATTCGTCGACCGAAAATGCGTGCAGGTCCCCTACTCTCTTGATGGAGGCCAATGCAGTCAGGAGCAGTGTTTTCATTAAAATAAATTTTAGCTCGACTGACTGCAAAGGCTCAAATGGGCCCTGCTGTAGTGCTTTGAGTACTAGAGTCAGGTCCCAAGAGGGTATAGAGGGGGGCCGGGGAGGATTTAACCTTCTCACCCCCGTAAGAAACCTGACGACCAAGTCATGCCTCCCTACCGACTTCCCTTCCATGGGGTCGTGGTACGCAGCAATCACAGCCACATAGACTTTAAGGGTGGAGGAAGACCTTCGCTCCCACCCTTGCTGCAAAAAGGACAGCACGACTCTGATCGGGCATCTTTGGGGGTCCTCTCAGTGAGAAGAACACCACTCGATGAACAGGTTCCACTTCAAGGCATAAGTATGTCTCGTAAATGGTGCTCTTGCCGAAGTGATGGTGTCTACTAACTCTTGGGGTAGGCCATCTAGAACCTCCGTGTCCAGAGGTCTGGACACGGGTACCAAAGGGTGCCCCATTCCAGACATACTTGCGCAGGCCCCTCGGCCAGCTGTGTGCCAGTGCATCTGTGCTGAGTGTTCCCTTAGTCAGGGAGTAAAACAACTGGCAGTGAGAGGCTGGACTGACTGGGGATGGAGTCTCCACTCTCCGGGGAGCACAGCTCGTGACAGCTCGTCAGCTGCATGGTTGAGCAGACCCGGAATTTGAATGGCACGAAGCGACCTCAGATGCTTCTGACTTCAGAGGAGGAGGTGGCGGGCGAGTTGTGACATGCGACGGGAGCATAGACCACCTTGTCGGTTGATGTATGCAACTGTCACAGTGTTGTCCATTCAAACCAGCACGTGCTTCCCTCATATGTGCCTTCTGAGATGGTTAAACGCAAGGTGTACTGCTAACAACTCTAGGCAGTTGTCATGCTAGTGCAGTTGGAGGCCCGTCCAAACCCCCGACACTGCATGCCCATCGTACGTGGCCCCTCAGCTGGTGGTAGAGGCATCCGTGTAAACCACATGCCTGGAGACCTGTTCCAGGGGCACTCCTGCCCAGAGAAACGCAAGGTCCCCCCGGTGTGACTTGGACCCGGTAAGTGCCACGTTGCCATGCCCATCTCGGTTTGTTTAGCTGGCCTTGGCCCGGTTGGAAGAGGTGGGCCAGAGCACGGTTCGGATGGGTTTGGGCGCGGTACGAATGCAGTGTGAGCGCTAACCGCGCCAGAGCAAGGAACAGATACTATTTTGTGTGCGCTACTGTCATCATTACGACCGCAAACATATTCTATTACTACTACTACACTACACGTTTCAATTAATTTAATTTAATTTAATGAAGTATATTTAGGTTTATAATGGCTCTGGTTCTTACCTTATTGATGAACAGGAAATGTTATTTGTGAGTAGACTTGTGCCGGTATTCGGTAATGCGATATATCACGGTAATGAATCTGTACGATATTGTTATTGTGGGCACTTCTAAATACCGTGAATAATTATGTATTACAAATTATTCCGAATTTTGAATGCATTTTAAGAATACTTTTCCCATCAACTTGTCAAAATGCACAACACCGCTGTATGCTGCGTGAAAGACGTGGGCACTCTGACGTAAACAAGCGCGGACGAGAAGCACATGGCGGAACATGTGACAGCAGAGGGTGCTAAACTGCAGAAATAATAATAATAATAATAATAATAATAATAATAATAATTCATTTAATTGCAGCTGTTACCCCGGAAACCCTGTAAACAAAGCAGCTGTACTAGGCTACTTTCTGTTTCTGAATCGTGTTTAAATTATTTAAACAGACATTCAGATACTTAAATATTTAGACTTAATAGGCTATTTATTTTCAAACTGTTTTACATTTTAATCTGGACTACAACATTCTCTAGATATTTTTTGAAAGTGTTTTGATTCTTTATTGTTCGGTCACACTTTACATTAGGGCTTCATTAGTTAACTTTATTTAATTCATTAGTTAACATAAACTGCCAATGAAAAATTCTTCTGAACATTCATTGATCTTATGTATTCCAATATTTAATAACAGGTTGTAACGAATCAGCTCAAAGGGGAAATATGAATAAATAATCATAATTAGTTATAATTAATTATAAATATTTAGATCCGCTGTAAGTATTAACTTGACCTCTCAGGGTCAACTGTCTGTCAATTCTAAGAAAGTTAATTTCCTGGTTAAGGGACATAACTTTCTTACTGTACAATACTACTCATGTACTAGCATCTAGCAGAAATCTGCATGATTAGGGACTACGATTATGAGCAAACAATGAACAACCTCAGGAGTTGGTTGATGGAAAAGAACCAGTTTGAGTCAGATGATCTTGGTGAATGGAAAATCAAGGCCGAATCCTGGCGCAAACTTAGGGTGTCCTTAGGAGCTTTCTAGCTCACATCTTCTCAGAATCTAACAGAAATGCAAAACCAGTGATATCAGCATTGGTTGCCATGGAATCAGAGGCCTGTTCGTTCGCAGACATCCTGGCACCCAGCATGTTTATTGGGTGAGGGGTCTGTGATTATTTGTTAATTTAATGAATAATTGATTTGTTAAATCAAATGAAAAATGGTGTGTCTGATTGGTCCAGATGCTACAAGGTTGTTAAAATCGAAAGTTGCAACTGTGTTATTTAATGAGCTAACATGAACTAAGACTTGTATTTTTAAAAAAAAGATTAATAACTTCTGTAGCAAATGTAGCTATTGCTGATTGTGAATGTTAATGCATTAACTAAGGTTAACTAATGAGGTCTTATTGTAAAGTGATACCTATTGGTCTTTATAGATCCTTTGCACTTTAATCTGTGTAAAACTTTTAACTTTATACATTTTTCTGTATTGCTTTATTGTATTTAAACGTTCAGTTATTTTTGTTATAAGAAAAAAGTTATTAAACCTGTTATACTGTATTATGACAGCACTTTTTTCAAACTAAATTTCAATATTGTGATAATACCGCATAACATGATAAAAGCATTAGCAATTAATCGCAACATGAAAATTTGATACCGGCATATCCCTATTTGTTAGTAGAGCTGCAAATTATTTTATTAACGTCAGCTGCCTCCGTAATAATTTTCTGATACATACAAGTGAAAATCAATGCACGGCATAAATGATAAATTAATTATTCGGCAGAATATTAGCGAAAGTGGTTTTCTTCAGTATCTCATACATGACGTAAGCGTGCTCCGGCCCGGAATGTTAAGTGCAAGTGTGAGTGCAGGTCAGCGGGGGAGTGGGGAGGGGGGATAATCGTGCTCGGGCTCGGTTCAAGGCAACCGTGCCTATTGTGAGTACACCCTTAAGCTAAGACTAAGGGCGGGGTTGACCTCGTTGCTATGGATGATGTCAGCATGCTTACTAACTATGCACACCGTGATTGGCTGATAGGGGAGGGGTCTCTGTCAGAGATTTATAGAAATATTGTAGAGTGCAATATTATGTTGCCATATTCAAATAAATATTTAAAAATAAAATGTTAATTGCCACATTCAAATAAAGATTTTAAAATGCAGGCTAAGTGTCACTAATTAAACAAGTATATGTTCAGCTAATTGTCAGCCTCTTGCATGTATGCTTCTCGTCGCGGGTATGCATATAAACACCTTTTTAATTAACAGAGTAGCACAATCATGGCTGATAGTAAGACATGCAAACGTAAAAGAAAACCAAACTGGATGCAAGAACAGCTGTTACTTCTTGCCCAACTGGTTAATGAAAAGGATATAATTAAAGGAAAATGTGGAGTTGGGATAACCTCCAAACCCAAAGGTGATACCTTTTTAAAAGGTCATTATCATCAAATGTTTCTAT